GATGTATTTTCTTCCAATAAGAGAGAATTTAGTCACAATACCAGACACAGTGAAGGAATGAATTCCTTTGCATTTTTTTGCAGCTAAAACAAAGACCAGAGGAGGTTTTGTAGATCTTTTTCAAGCGTAAGGGTGTAAGATAAACTCTGTTAAGGAATTTGTAATTGAGTTTTGAACAGTTATTTTATAGTGCAATAACATTTCACAATTTGAACTGTATTTCTGATTAAATAAATGCGGCCTTAGTGAGCAGGAGAAGCTTATTTTAAAACATTTAAAAATCCTACTGACCCCAAACCTTTAACCGGTAGTGCATGTTACACCGTTCATTAGATAAATCTGTGATAAAAACATTAAAACTGTGATTTAAAGCTTTTGCCATGTGATTCATTCTGACAAATCTAAACTGCAACAAGCAGGCCACTTGTGGTAAATCACTTGTTTTAACTTACATCTGAGTAACTTCAAATGTTATGGACATTTCAATAAAATAAAAAATGGTCTTATTAATCACTATGAGGCCATATACCCATACAGGACATGACATATACAGGGTTCCTATATGGGTCATGGAATTTATAGAATATCATTTAAAAGGTCTATTCCAGACATTAAACTTCAGGCAATTTAATCTGTCATTTATATATAGTTGAAGTTAGAATTATCAAACCCCTTTGATTTTTTTCTTTTTTAATATTTCCCAAATTATGTTTAACAGCAAGAAAAAATTCACAGTATGTCTGAGAATATTTTTTCTTCTGGAGAAAGTTTTGTTTTATTTTGACTAGAATAGAAGCAGCTTAAAATTGTAAACACCATTTTAAGAAAAATATCATTAGACCCTTTAAACAATTTTTTTTTCTCGATAGAACAAACCATCTTTATACAATAACTTGTTTAATTACCCTAACCCAACCTAATTAACCTAGTTAAACCTCTAAATGTCACTTTAGATATTTTTAAGACACTTCTATACAGCTTAGTCAAATATTATTTACTGTCATCATGGCAAAGATAAAATAAATCAGTTATTAGAAATAACTGACGGGGGGGGGGGGTCTAATAATTCAGGGGGGGCTAATAATTTCGACCAACTGTAAAGGGATCAGGGGTCAAAGAAAGTGTTTTCCTCTTAAACATAAAGCCTACTGCATCATATTTAAAACATGAAGGACCTAATGAACAAAATAAACACTGTACTATTAAAATCTCTTCAACAATATTAGAAAAGTCATACTAAAATATATTTATCAAATATGATGCATTTATTTGCTCAGTCAATCTGCTTTGTAGGCCCACTGCACTGTTTTGCCCACCACAATTAAAATTGCACAGCTTTCATCATAAAACTAAGCATTTAAATACAGATTATTAAAAGATTCAGAGCAATAAATTATATAGAAATGTATTTTATTAGTCTGATAGTTTTATTAAAAATATTATTTCTTTACATTCATATAAATAAAAGGAACAGTGAATGTCTAAAATTGTTTTTAAAGGTTAAACTGAGCTTTTTAATTTACTAAACTCTTACTATCAATCAGGTGAGCCATTAAAAGTTTTGTGCCTAAAATACACTTTTCTGACATGTTCAGTCAAGTTGAAAATGAAATTTAACTTCTGAAAGTAAATAAGTCAAATAAATACCATGATGTTTGAGCACATGTTGGTGTTGTTGATACTTATGTGGAACAAAAGATGCATATATGAAGTTTAACAGTTAAAAGAACCCGCGCTAAGCCTAGAGCAAACCTTATATCACATGACCAATAATGACATTGGTTTGTTTTAAACACTGGTGGGTAAAAGTACAAACAAACAAAATACATGAACTATAGGTGCTTATTTGTTTTATCACAGGCAGTAAATTTATTGGCAATAAAACTAAAGGCAGCCACTGCACTGTAATCTTGATCCACACACAGTGGCTACATAATATATTATAGCTATCTCGAGCAATTGTTTATTTCAGTCATTTAAATATGAACTAAAACACATTTGTTTGACTGACTGCAGAAACATTTGACAGTGAATTAAATGCTAGGCTAATTCATTCTCTTCCAGTAGATGGGGCTAATAGATAAGTAAAAGCGCCACCATGAGCACTGAAATCAGCTTAAGTTTAATGAATGAAGCCCATGAAAAGTAGCATATATGTGTTTACTCTAACTGTAGATAAGTTGAACACATATCCTGCGGTTTTTCACACTTTTTGAACCGTTACATCTCTGAACGATAGCTAATTATAAGTTACAGTGAAAACCTAAATAAAGCTTTATATAATGATGAAAATAAATGAAACGATTAAAATGCATCATCATATTTCTCACATGTATTTATCAGTTATAATGCTGCATATTAACCAGCTAACATCACTGTCCCGTGTTTCTCTTCATTTTTCACAGCCGCTCTGTCGCTGAATGACTTTTTGTGTGTTGTTTGGTGTTTTTTAATAATTGTTATATTAGATAATCAACACCAAACCAAAACATTTGTGCATATATGTGCATTTAAAAACATGTGTTTGGATTCATCCTCTAAATCAGAAAATTTTTTAATTGAATATAAAAATAACATCACTGCATTGAAGAGAAAATACAATAACAAAAGTTAGGAAAGAGAAAAGAGAAAATCTTCACAAAGCCTCTATCAATAAAGACTATCCTAAGCTTTAAAAACGATTGCTTAAGAGACTCAACATTTTGAGCGAAATTTCAGCAAGTATATATACATGTAGGCTATATATCTATAGTAAGCATTAGGGATTGTCCTTAGGAACTTTGAGTGTGTTGTTTGGTGTGTTTGGGTGTTGATACGTATCACGTTGCCACACCCGCACGACGTTGTTTTCCATGACGTCATCACGCATATACCAGTAGTATCTACTAGATTCGAGAATGTTGTCGGTTGTTCTCCTTGCTGTTCAGGTTGCTGTGGCGACTTTGCGATATCGTAATGTCTTTGGCGGTATGAGGTCAGATCTTTTTATAGTGTGCGTCGTTAACAACCAGCAGTGGTGGAAAGAGTACTGAAAAATCATACTCAAGTAAAAGTACCATTACTTGCCTAAAAATGTAGTGCGAGTAGATTAAAAGTACCTGTTGTAAATATTACTCAAAGTAGGAGTAAAAAGTAGCCCTTTCAAAAGTACTAGTAGTGAGTATTACACTGTGAAAAGCTAATGTGTTCATGTAATTTGTGGATGTGTGTAAACGTAACATTCTGTAGTGCATGTAGTTATTGCCCAGTAGGCACACAACGTCATAGGATGTTAATATTAGCTTAGATTTAGGTTGTGATGTCAAGTGACCAAAATTCAATGTCTAGCCAGCGTCTAAGGACAACATTAATTTGATGTCTAATAACGACGTTAAATGACGTTGATATTTAGTCGATTTTAGGTTGTGTTAGAAAGTGACCAAAATCCAATGTTGAGCTAGCATCTTAAACCAACATCACACTGACGTCAAATACTGATAATTATTCATCAGGTGTGGCAACCAAAATTCAACATCAGGTAGACGTCATGGTGGTAACGTTCACACAACTTCAAGCTTTGACATCATTAGACGTTGATATTTGGTTGGTTTTCGGTTGGACATTGACGTTGGTCTGACAGTAAGTTCTGACGTCAACCCGATTTGAATTTAAATTGAATTCACCTTTATTTGTATAGCGCTTTTACAATGTAAATTGTGTCAAAGCAGCTTTACATAGAAGATCATAGTAAATACCAAACAAAATGCATCGCCTTAAGACATTGGGGTACAACGTCAATTGGACATCATGTTGATGTCTTGTGCTCATTGGGTGTTTAAGGCCATTTTGGTCCCCATACAGTAAACATCTGTCATTTTCTCATCAGTGACCTGCATCTAAACAGTCTCTGGGTCATTGCGTGTAAAGAATTTGGACATCTTCTTGGACACTTTTAATGCTACCAAACAGTTTGCTGCAATTATAAATCACCCATGTCTTCAGGTATTTCATTATGAAGCGATTTACCTTCAATGTGTGATTTGATTGGACGGGAATTACAGGACTGATTTTTCTAATCCCCATAGACAAGAAAAATAAAGTAGTGACTGCAGGTTGAAGGAAAGTAGTGAGAGTAAAAGTACAGATACTGCAATAAAAATGTACTCAAGTGAGAGTAAAAGTACACATTTTTAAAACTACTCAGTAAATTACAATTCCTGAGAAAAAGTAATTAATTACAGTAATTTGAGTATTTGTAATTAGTTACTTTACACCACGGACAACCAGGGCACATATTTAAATCATTGTGGTATATCAGATCCCAGATCATTAATGTTAAAATGGGTTTTGTTTTTTAATGTGTTATTTAGAAATAAAGTTTCCCAAGTTTGTCTTCCTAGAGTGAAAAAATAAATGAAAACAGCTGCTATTAAACCGAGCTCAAATTTGGGGATGATGACATTTCTGTCATTTACTCAACCTTCATTTGTCACAAAACTTTTTGAGATTCTTTTTTTCATTGTACACAAACGTTTTTGTTTAAAGTTGTTTCATATCATTATGAGTTTTCTTTCTGTGTAGAACACAAACGAATTTATTTTTAATAATATTGGAATCATGTATCCATTGACATCAATAAAGAAAAAACAAATACTATAGAAGTCTATGGTTACAGGTTTAATATCTTTAATATCTACAGTTTAAATATCTTCTTTTAGTTTTACACTCAAAAAGGAAACGTGGGCAAGTAAAGGGGGATTTTTTTTGGAAGTGAACTACCCTCCTGGAAAAAAAACATGTTGGTTTTGATGTTTTGATGCTGTAAGCTGGTTTTGCTGGTTTCTACATGATCTCCTCTCCTCTGACACACCCCTGCCGGTTTCACGCGTGGATGTTTTGGTTACACAATAGAGGCGGGGCTAAATCTCGTAACTATGGGGCGGACATTAATACAGTGACAATATGGAGTGACAGCTCAGAGTTCATCGAGAGTGATCGGGATCGGACCTCTGCTGTTGATCAGCTCGGCTTCACCCACATACAACTAAACAAAATCACTGAGTTTTTTGTTTTGTTTCTGGTAATAGTGATTCAGGAGTGTTAAAGGATTTACTTCTTTCCTGCGGTCGTGGATTGTGATATGAACTTGAAGGTGTTCTGCTTTTTTTTCCTACTTCTTGAAGCCTCCTGTTTCAGTAAGTATCTCAAAACTATAATGTAATCTTAAAGTGATCTGTTTGTGTTTACATATGTGTACCTTTCATATTTATTATTTATTTATGTATAGACTGTATTTAAATTAATACTGTGTTTGTAAAGTGTGTCATTGTATTTTGCACTGTCTGAAGCCTGTAGCTAGATAAGTTGTTCACTTATTATAGCACACGTGCTGCTGGTGATGTGACGATAAAAGTGGTTTGATTATATCTTTAAACCCCTAAAATAGTCTCTCTGCCCACGTGTTTGTTTGTATAATATAGCATATGTTAGGACAGCACCCATAATATATTGTATAGTGTGTTGGCATTTGCCAACATGCCGAGACATGCTTAGTCAGAATGAATGTTATAATGACTCATCATCATGACCCAGATTAGATGTGACCTTGGGATTTAGGTGCTTTCATGATGTCATTTCATTATGATCTCATTAGTTTATAAACACGAGGGCACGTGGACAGTGGAGCTAAAGAAACATTCATTTGATTGCATTCCGCTTTTGATTCTCATTATCAGTAAATCTTAGTTTGAGATTCAAATATTACTGTAAATGCTTAATGCAAGAAGAAATCTGCTGCCAACAAACTGATCATTCAAGTTATGATTGTAAAATAAATGTCTTCTTTCCTCTTTGTGTCTCTTTAGTTGAATTTGAGATCTCTGTTCCCCGAAGTCCTGTCATTGGGTTTTACGGTGAGGAGCTGATCCTCCCTTGCACATTCCCTGTGGATTCTTCGTGGGATCTGAGCAGCACTGTTATCACATGGCAGCGAGGGCTGGATGTAGTTCACAGCTTCTACTACAGTCGGGATCAGCTGGACCGGCAGAATCCTCATTATGTCAGCCGCACCAGTCTGTTCATTCAGGAGATGCAGCGAGGAAACGCCTCTCTCAAACTGGACAAAGTGACTCAGAGGGATGCCGGTGTTTACACCTGCTCCATCAGCACAAACTCCGGCAGCCAGAAGAAGAGCTTTGCTGTAAATATTGCAGGTAACAAAATGACACATATAGACATGTTGATGATGAATCTCATGAATCGAGCTCAGAAAATGGGAAAAATGCTTGTTTTAACATGCGTGTTGTGTTTCCCAGCGCTCTACTCTGAGCCTCGTCTGCAGTTCTCCATGTTGACGGATGGAGTCAATCTGCTGGTGACGTCAGATGGAGGATACCCTTCTCCAACACTGCAGTGGCTGATGGAGAACTCAGACATCACCAACCAGACTCAAACACACCTCAGACAGGACACAAGCACAGGACTTTACATCGTGTCCAGCTGGATAAAACTCTCTGACGTCTCAAATTCATCTTTGACATTTATTCTGCACAACAAACCGCTGGGGCAAGACATCAGAAGAGAGATCCAGCTTTCGTCAGGTGAGGACTTTGTAAAAGAAATCAATAAATATAAGCATTTTTAAATGTTTATGAACAATCAATATTGATGGAGATAGTTTAAGCAAACATGAAAGTTCTGTCATTATTTTCTCCTTCCAAACATGCACTGTACTATTTACAATAATCATAATTATTTTTTTTTCTTTACAGATAAAATTGAAAAACAAGAAGAGAACAGATGCTCTGAATGCTTCATTTTGATCCCAGTTGCTCTGCTGCTGCTCGCGATGGTTTTATTGTTTGTATTCTTTATCAAAAGAAGAAGAAAAGCAGAAAAGAGCAAACAAAGTTCCTCCAGTGAAACTAAAAGTCTGAGTGAAAATGTATGATTATGATGGTTATGCTGTTTTTTTAATGATGATCATTTCCAGGACAGAATTTAGTATTATATTTATTGTTACATGGTTCAAGTTATTTTAAACCAGTTTTTAACAAATAAACACTTTATTTGTGCTGTGATGATCCTTTCATGTTAAATACCATTTCAATGCATTATTCCACTGATCTTTATGTCAGATATCTGGTGTGTTTGTCACAGCTAAACTAACCAAATCTTCCTAGGTGCTAAACACTTTTAACAGAGCTAAAAATTTCATAAACAGAATTTGTCAGTCATATCATATTATGATGCACTGCTGATGTCCTGCTTAACAAGCATTATGTTTGAGACCATTTCCATTAGTGTTATACATTTTACTCTTGACTTTATGCACTAAACAGTATTTTTTTACACACACCTGCTGGCAGGATCTTGTTGCTCCACAGTAACATTTTACAACGATATTTATTAAATTAGTTTCTCTCTAAAAATGGAATTTGATTTGAATTCATGTAATTTATAACATGTAATTTTATACTGTGAACTAGTGTGTTAGTAGTACTTATGTTTGACTATGGGACCACTGTGTGCTGTTTAATATTTCAATTGTTTACATTTGCCTCCGTATCAAGTGACATGTTTACTCATGTGATGCTGAAATAAAATATACATTTGTATAATATCCCACCAGTGTGATTAATATTACTTCACAGATTATGTGTATACAGGTGCTGGTCATATAATAAAAATATCCTAAAGTTGATTTATTTCCCCGATTCCATTCAAAAAGTGAAACTTGTATAATGTATACATTCATTCTTCACAGACTAATATATTTCAAGTGTTTATTTCTCCTTTAATAATTATGACAAGTAATGAAAACCCCAAATCCAGTATCTCAGAAAATGACAATATAACCGAAGACCAATACAAAGAAAACATTTCTAATAAAAATACTATCAACTGAAAAGTATGAACACGAAAAGTATGAGCATGTACAGCTCTCAATACTTGGTTGAGGCTTTTTTTGCACAAATTACTGCAGCAATGCAGCATGGCATGGAGTGAATCAGTATGTGGAACTGCTCAGTTAGCATGAGAGCCCAGGTTTCTCTGATAGTGGCCTTCAGCTTTTCAGCCTTGTTGGGTCTGATATCACATCTTCCTCTTCACCCAAAAATTTTCTAAGTGGTTAAGTTCCGGCAAGTTTGCTGGCCAGTTAAGAACAGGGATAACATGGTCCTTAAACCAGGAAGTGGCAGCTTTGGCACTGTCTGCAGGAGCCAAGTCCTGTTGGAAAAATCAAATCTGTATGTCCATAAAGTCAGGAGCAGGAGGCATGAAGTGCTTTAAAACATCCTGGTATAGATCAGAAAACACAGTGGAGCAACACCAGCAAATGACATGGCACCCCAAACCATCACTGACAATGTAAACTTTACAGTGGACCTCAATGTAAATTACGTGCCTCTCCTATCTTCCTCCAAATTATCAATCACTCCAGAATTGACTTTCATTAGAGAACATAACTTTGAACCACTCAGCAGCAGTCCAATCATTAGCCCAAGCGAGAGGCTTTGAAATTGTGTGTTCTTCAAGAGTGGCTTGACACAAGGAATGTAACAGGTAAAACCAGTGTCTTGCACACATACATCTGTGTGTAGTGGTTCTTGAAGCACTGACTCCAGCTGCAGTCCACTCTTTTTTGTGAATCACCCCCACGTTTTTGAACAGGTTTCGTTTCGCAGTTTTATCCATATGATGCGATTATCTCTATTGCTTGTACAATTTTTTTCAACTTTATCTTTTTCTTCCCTTCACCTCTCCATTAATGTGCTTGAACACAGAGCTCTGTCAACAGCCAGCCTTTTTTTGCGATGATCTTTTTTGTCTTGCCCTCCTGGTGCAAGTTGTCAGTGGTTGCCTTTTGGACAACTGTCAAATCAACCATTTCCCCATGATTGTGTAGCCAACAAAAATAGATTAAGAGACCATTTAAATGTCTTTGCAGGTGTTGAGTTAATTAGCTGATTAGAGTGTGGCACCAGGTGTTTTCAATGCTGAACCTTTTCACAATATTCAAATTTTTTGAGATACTGAATTCAGGGTTTTCATTGGTTATCAAAATCATCAAAAATAAAAGAAACAAAGGCTTTAATTTTTTCAATCTTCGTGGAATAAATGCATATATTATAAGTAGTTAAATAAATCAGCTTTTTAAAGATATTCTAATTTTGTCACCAGCACATGTCAGTGTGATTTAAGATTTTTTTACACTCCCTTACCTTTGAATCCACTTTCAATCCCTTTTCTTGCCTTTGCTTTTTATCTGCTCAATCAAACTAAAAATAAAATAAGATGCAAGTGTTCCAGGAACGATGTCAGTATAAACAATACTTTAATTCAAATTTACAACCATTTCAACCTTGTACAGATTAGTCACACACATAAAAAATGTCTGGGTGATAATGTAAAAAAAAAAAAAAGTGGAATGGCATCACAAGGCTTTTGAGCACAACTAGAAGGCCATTGTACAGATAGCAAGACCAAACCTGCATAACTGAAGAAGAATGTTAAGTCACGACCACAATTAACACAAGGTTTAATTTAATTTTCTACAAAACTATCAGTTTGATTTATTCAACATTGCCTGGTTCTTTGATTTAACAAAAAAAGAGGTGATATGGACAGTGGAGATACTGCTTTGATTGCATTCTGCTTTTGATTCACATTTTTAGTGCTGTCTGTTTATTGACCTTATTCTAAAATGCGGAAGTGCGCCTGTTTTCGCGATTGTCTTAGAACTTCCTTTTCAGTCGCCTATGGGAGAAATGACAAGGAATAATAAACGGCAAAAAACGGTCAAACTACTTGCTCTACAAACAAATGTTTGCATGACTATACAGACCAAGTAGAATAATATAACAAGGAAATATCAGTTTGCAACATCAAACAGCGAAACGAGCAGTTTTTAATGTCTAAACATGAATGGAAGTGAATGAGACCGGAAGTCTCGTGCCAAAAAGATTCAAATGGCAGCGCCCGCTCGTCTGCGGAGAATAAGGTCAATATGGCTGTATTGTAAATAACTAAGTTCTTTCTTTCTATCTATCTATCTATCTATCTATCTATCTATCTATCTATCTATCTATCTATCTATCTATCTATCTATCTATCTATCTATCTATCTAACATTCAAAATTCTTCAGAATATCTTCATTTGTATTCAATGGAGGAATGAAACTCAGTTTTAGAACAAGTGATTAAATAAAGACAACATTTTTCAACCAGATTTAATATCGCTATAGTAAAAGCATCTGTAATATGACCACATACTAGTTTGCATTGGTTCTTTAATAAAAAAATTAAAATAATAATTTCAGAGAATTATTAGAGCTGATAGACTGATTTTGGGACTGATCATTACTCTATTCAGCATTGATAATTGGTGACACTATTGCTTTATAAGGAAGAGATTTCATTTACTATCATTAGTTTAGTGTAGGTGGCTTGGGGGGGAACAGGAAAGGGAAAATGTTTACCTAAAATTCAAACGTGGTTTCCAGAAAATATGATCAAAGTTATCTGGAAAATGATTATCTGAGATCGAGACTCAAACATTACTGTAAACCACTGAGACAAGACAAAACCTGCCAACAAACTGATAAGCCGAGTAATGATTGTGAAACTCGTATGTCTTATTTCCTTTGTCCTGTTTGGCTGAATTTGAGATCTCTTCCCCGAAGCCCTATCATTGGGTTTTACAATGAGAAGCTCATCCTCCCCTGCACATTCCTGTGAAGACTTCATGGGATCTGAGCAGCACTGTTGAGGGCTGGATGTAGTTCACAGCTTCTACTACAGTCGGGATCAGCTGAACCAGCAGAATCCTCATTATGTCAGCCCGTGTCAGCCGCACCAGTCTGTTCATTCAGTAGATGCAGCGAGGAAACGCCTCTCTCAAAATGGACAAAGTGACTCTGGAGGACTCTGGCATCTACACCTGCCCCATCAGCACTAACTCCAGCAGCCAGAAGAAGGGTTTTGCAGTAAATGTTGCCAGTAACAAAATGACACAAATAGCCAGATGTTGAAGATAAATCTCATGAATCCAGCTGAGAATGAAAAAAAGGCCTGTTTTAATGTGTTTGATTTGCGTTTGAGTTTACAATTGGCTGCGCCAATTCTGAAAGAGTGGCTGAATATGAGTCTGGTGGGAAGCCAGAATGGGGGAGGACGTCTTTAAGGTGTTTTTAGAACCAGAAGTGTGTTATGGGATGGTTTAAATCATCCATTAACAGGGGTTATCAGGGTCTGAAGCTTGGGATTTTCTAAAATGGATAGAGTGTTTGAAATGGGCTTAGGGGAGAAGGGATATCGAAAATGTATATGAAATGTCCTTCTCTCGTTTAGTCTGTTTTGCTTAGTTTGATGAAGAAGGATAGAGTTTCTTCATGTTTGGGTAGCTGAAGGGTTTGAGCTGGTGCCCGAGCTAGATGGAGGGGCTGGAGACCAAGGAAAAGGGGTGATGTTGGGGTGGGTCTAAAGGACAGATGGGGGCGGGCTCAGTCCGGTTGGTGGAAGGAGAGTCCTTGCACCGGGATAGTCTTGTTGTTGACATGGAGATTGAGAAGCGACGTCCTTTAGTTAGAGCCTTGGGCTCTGTGGAAGACCAGGCAGGGCTAGAGCGCGGAGCTAGGGCTTGAGTTTAGCGGAAAGCAGCACTTTTAAAGATGTCAGCTTTAGGTTGAAGATTGATTAGATCCATTGCGTTCCTTTTATTGAAAAAACAAGGATGACTAACCTAAAGCCCTGCTCCCACTGTTAGATTTCAGCCCCGAATCTGTCTTCTGAGAAAAATTTGGGAAATCCTAAAAGATTCCTGAAATCCTATAGCCTAAAATCTGTGATCTTTGATCATTGGTTTGACATGTTCACTGACAGCCGCTTAGTGCCCGTTGCGATCAGATTTTTCCTCTGGTGAAGTTCTGGCAGTGTCAGAAGATTTCAGACACTTTCCTGCAGTGTGACAACAGTTGCGATGCGCGTCAATCCATGAACCAAAAGGAGCTCAGAATTTGATTACACGATTCATACAACAATTCAAATGACCACGGGGAAATGTCAAAACAGTTTTTTTCTTTTTGGTTTTATTATTGAAGCGTGCTGTGTGCAAAATTGCTGCTACGTAATGTTTAAGATTGCTGTGAGGAACCAATTTAGAACACAGGATAGTGAAAGTGTCACGGGTGGGTGACGTCAAACCCCGGGGGCATTTTCTTCTGTATTTAGCGCATCTTCATTGTCATTCAGTCTGACTTTTTGACAGCTGAGATCTCATGCCGAGTTCAGACTGCATGATTTAAGCCCTAAATTTTGACTCGCTGACAGGTTTCCAAAAATCAGCGATAAATGTCTGAAATCACAGGCAAATCAGTGCTCATTCACGCAAGTAATCACACATAGTAAACTATCAAAGACGCAATCTGAGGGTGCTTTCACACCTGTGAATCGATTCAGTTGTTCCGAAACAGAGATTAAAATTGTTACATTGTTGCTCTTTGCTCTTGGAGCGGTTCGCTTTCACACTGCAAAGTTTCTAATCGGACCAAAAGAGCTAAAACAAGTCACGTGCGAGTAAACTGTCCTTACATTGGTCAGAGTGTCAGGGTTTATTTTGCAGCGTTCCGCTCAGCTGTCAGGAGAGGTGGTGGTTTGGTGGTGATTGACAGGGTGCGCGCGCGTGACGTGTCTGAGGAGAGACACGGTGGGGAGGGGTGAGAACGGTGAGCGGCGATGCCTATTTGAGGACTGGGAGAGAGACGCGAGATTACCGGGAGATCATCACTCGTTTGCGGGCATCCGGAGACTCGCGAAACTACCCGCCCTACTCATAATTCTCTCTTCATATAGCCGTAAGCCTATTACATATCCATAAAACACTGTGATATAACCACGCTCGGATCGGATCGCTTTCTCACTGCAATCGAACCGCTCCAGGGTTCGTTTCAATCGAGCCGAGACCACCTCATTTAAGCGATCTCGGAGCGATTACTTTGGCGTGGAACAGAGCGCGATTGCCCTGTTCAGATATGCCAATCGAACCGCGCTAACTGGGCAAACGAGACACGTTCCGAAACAAAAGTGTAGGTGTGAAAGCACCCTGAGAGAATCCCTGATGAGTCGGCGATGCCTGTGAGATATTTGGCATCCTAAATATCTAGAGCTGTCGGCGATTCAAATCATACCGTGTGAAATGAGTTTTGACTGAAAATAACATCGGCAATCACCAACAGCCAATGAGAGAGCAGCATTTATTTGCGTGTGTACCAAGTGTGCCGCAAGCCTGTGTTTGAGTGAAGGTCTCGGCCGTTAGATCGCCCCCTGGGGGCTGGCTGCAGTACAAGTCAGAAAGCCCGCCTCCTCCGTGTTAATGAAGGAGACTTGAGCCCAAATAAAAAAATTAATTACACTTGCAATAAAATGTCCCGAAAGATGGTTCTGGTCGATTAAGGCACTGGTTATTGTGCTGAAATAGGTGCAGATCCTCATTTTTGTAAACAGTTTGTTTTTAGCAATAATTTAATGCTGGGCGTGTCATCGTGATTGACAGCTGTGATTGACAGTTTCTCAAAGCAGTGCGTCTGAGCTTCGGCAGAAGACTGAAGTGTTATTACTCGATTTCTGTGATATTTTACTATGACAAAATGAGTTCAGCAGTAAACTACAGTTTCTGACATACATGATCTGGTGGAACACTGTTTATTCGCTAAGGTCAGAGCTTTTTTCGGGCTTTATTAGTTTGCTAATACACGCCTAGCCACCCAGATAGCAAAATACACTGGGGCCAGTTCTTGCCTGCCGGAGACTTACCCCTCAGACTGACTACCTCTGCTGGACCTACCCCGGAGCCTGGACTCATTGCCCGATTCCAGCCCAAGTAAATTGAGCCAGATGCGGCGGCCGAGCGAGCAGGCGCTGCCGCATGCAAGCCGGAATCAGCCCGCGACGCCGCGAGTAGGTTATGTGCGCTGCTGCCCGGAGCTGGCACGATTGAATCTTCATCATATAAAACCCTCACATTTGTTAACGTTATTACAAATATTTTTGTTGATATGACAACAAACGCATGCTACTATGTGAACGCAAAGTGTATCACTGAGTTTAACCTTTGAATAAAGATGCAAACAGCATACATAGCAATTATTTAAATAAAGGACAAAATACATAACAATAAACCTGTATCGATTGCACAAGTATTAAATAATAATACAATTGAATACATTTTGTAGTGCACAAGAATTAAGAAATACGAAAATGACAATAAAACTGCACAATAAAATAAACCCATTTAAGTACGGGGAAAATACAGGAGATCGTTAGCAGTAATTCTCTTTGTGTCTAAATAATAATCTCCACGTTGATCTCCTGTAAGGTTATTTGAACTTGCTTTACAGGACGTCTCTGCATTTTAAGTTTTGGCATGTTATTAAGTAATCTACTGAATTTGCTGTTATAAATCATTATAAGGTTCTTAAAATCGAATCTTATATAACCTAATAGAACTGTAAATGTTAGATATTATTTATTTACATCATTTACTGTTGGCGTTTTATTTGAACAGCTAACATTAAAAAGAATGTAAATTCCTCGTTGCCAGATATAATGAAGGCATCGAATAAACCAAATGAAAACGGAGGCAAAAAAAATTAAATAAACAATTGAATAAAGAATTGAATTAAAATTGAATTAAAATCGGGGGGCGTGGTTGAAGCGTTTGGTTGGAAGCTCGACTCCGCTCATTTTCGCGGCTCCTCCTCTGGCTCCATCAGACAGTCCTTCTGCGCATGTCAAGGCTCCAATTTCAGCAGTCTTTTGCGACAGTTTGTGCCCGTCAAGCAGGCGTTTTGCCCTCAAGGCGTTCAATGGGAAAAGGGGCTGTTGCGTCGTCCATATTTTTTACAGTCATTGGTGTGTACCTACCTGGAGGCCAGCTGGAGAACTTAAAACCCGTGTCTGTTTGATATATCATCTGAGCAATATCACAACTGGGTCGAAAAGTAAAAAAGTTGAGAAATTGCTAATTCTCTTCAAACCCTGGAGAGCAAATGTGCATTTTCTACCCCATTAAAGGCCTTAAGGCGGAATATTTATTTGATTGGTTGTGTTTGATGATGCGAGTCCAGCCATGGTCAATTATAAGCACATGATCCTCTTAAAATTAGTTTTTAAAACTTTACTAATAAAAACAAAATCCACGTAAGTGCTAATATTATATTTTTGGCTCTGTTAAAAGACTGAAACAAAATTTGTAAATTGTATTATGTTATGATGCTCTGTCAATGTCTGTCTTTACAAATTTTATGTTTGAAATCATTTTCACTAGTGTTATTTTAACAGTTGAATTTATGCACTGAACAGGTTTTCTTGTGTGTGCACCTGCTGGCAGGATCGATCTAAATTTTTAAATAAAATTATTTAATTTGAATTCATGTAATTTATAACATCATGTTGTCTTTTTTAATACTGTGAATTACAGTGTGTTAGTATTTAAGGTTGACTGTGGGACTACTGTGTGTTGTTTAATATTTCAATTGTTTGCCTTTCCCTCTTTATCAAGTGACATGTTTACACATAAACCCACTGTGATGCAGGAATAAAATATATATTATGTATAATATCGCATCACTGTGCTTAATATTACTTCACGGATTCCCCCTTCTTTGCTTTTTATCTGCTCAATCAAACTAAAAATACTATGCAAGTGTTCCAGGAAGAACGTCAGTAGACAATACTTGCATTTACATTTGTAACCATTTCAACCTTATAGAGATTAATCACACTCTCACTCTCACTCTCACTCTCTCTCTCTCTCTCTCTTTCACTCACACAATGTCGTCATGGGTGTAAAACATAATGGGTATTTCATACTTGCAACTGCTTTGGTGACAATGGAAATCAAAGGAGTGGCATGACATGACGAGGCTTGTGAGCACAGCTATGCATACAAGGCCACTGTACAGATAGCATGACCAAACTTGCTAAAACTCAGGATAATGTCACATAAGATGAATGTTAAGTCACGACCACAATAAACAGATTATTTCATTTAATTTTTCACAAAAAAAAAAAAAAAATTATATATATAAAAAACACAAATATAATGTTGTTCAACATAGCCTGGTTCTTTGATTCAACAAAAAAATGAAATGTTTTCATTCAAACTCCATCTGAAAAATAATAATCATGTGTAAAGTCTAGTTTCTTCACAACACCCTGCTCCACCAGCTCATCAGATACAGCCGCTAATAGGAAACCAAATCCTTCCTTCATTTTTTCATCTTCCTCGTTCTTTTCTTTTGAGGAATAAGCCGGCAATACCTCATCACCCAATGCTGACTCATCTATTTGCAAACTTTCCCCCATAATTTCAGTGACCATACTGGGCATCTTTATGAGACCTCTGTGCTCCTGAAAGGCTTTTTCATCCATCTGAGCTTTTTTGGGCCAAAAACTCGGATGCTGAATCACATCCTGCATGTTTCTTTCTTCAGGCCATCCCAGAGATGAGCCCTCAAACTCCTCAGTGAGGTCTAAATCTGTTTTTTTCGATCCCTCAAAGCTCTCACTGATTGACATCAAAATTTCCACATCCCCATGTTTCTCCTCATCCTCCTCCACAAGCGTCACTTTATCTTGAGACTTGTGTTGAGGCTCTTCATTGTCCTCCTCTGAGGATATGAGTGTAACAGTGGCAACAAAATCTTCATGTGTGTGGGACGTCTGGGGCTCTTTGGCCAGACTGGCTTTAAACCAGATCACATCTTCATTTCTAGGAGTTATCAGAGTAGAGTTCAAAGATGATGGAGGCGTTACAGGGTCAGAGAAGAGCACTTCATCACTACTTACGGATCCTGATGCACACAAACAAACAAACACACACACACACACACACACACACACACACACACACACACACACACACACACACACACACACACACACACACACACACACAAAGGAAAGGTCAAGACTTTTTTCGATCATCTTTGAGTAACATCAAAGTATACAATATGTATATACAAGTATATTCTGAGTTACTGTATATAAAAGCATACATTAAATATTTTAAAAAGCAATATTTACCCAGTTAACTCAATTTTCCAGGAGCCTACAGGTTTCCAAGAGGGTGACCTTTCTAAAGTGACTGAAACCCTCTGACTGACTCTTCTAGTAATATAATCAAAAGAAGTTGGTTGTTCCAAATCTTTGCGTTCTACAATATTGCATCTTTACAATGTCGCAAACTCATTTAATTACCCAAAAAAGGCTAGTTGTGAAAACAAAATGCAGAGAAAAGTATTGAAGGATTCGGACTTCTGCTTTCCAATCCGTCTCTTCATGGACCAGCGTTTTTCCTTTTCATCATCCTGTTTCTCAGGATTTAACTGTGAATTGATTTTAATTAATGAATAAGTTAACACATTGCTTAATATAAGAATGTTCAGTGCATTTGCCTGTCTCTTTATAACTATTTTCAGAAGCCACCAAATTAGGTCAGAGGTCACGGAGACCTTGAGGGGAACTGAGGACAGGAAGCAACTGTTTCTATTGTTATTTATATGAGTTAATACTGTCAAAAATGTCTAAAGTGATTTTGCTATTTTTACGGTTAATTCTTTTAAAGTGATTCTACTTTTTATTCAAGATAGACTTGGTGTAGTAAGAATATAACTGCCTGAATGTAGATTCTACCAGTTTTTAACCAGTTTTGATAAAGACGGCTGAGAGTACACTCAGCCTTGGATAAGAAACAGATTATACTTTATGTGTGTGTGTTCTATTTGTTTTTTGATCCGTTTCACAGGTCTGGAGTCAGCTCTAATCAGTGTAAGGGATGTCTGACGTTTATGCTTAAGGTAATGTTTAGAACTGTACGCACGAACCCCACGTGGAAATGTTCCTAGTCTATCTGTGTTTTAACCAATCAGGTTAGAATATAACCTATATGTATGACGCAGTTAATGACGTTATGTGAGAGTATAATTGTTATTGATTGGTGATTGTGGGCAGAGCGGCCTCGGAACTCATTGCGAGTGTTGAAGCTGGCTTCTGCTGATGAAACTGCAAACTATCTTCAGTAAACTTGATTTATTTATTTAAATCTCTGACTCCGGCTCTTCTTCATCTACCAGACTGGTCATTCTTTGGGTTAAACTGTAAACCATCCCTACATTATAAAACAGAGAATCTCACTGGTCAGTCAGTTCATCACAGCAACTGGATCTGATCAGCAGATCAGTGCTAAAACGGGCAAAGAAGATCTGATTAAATATGTCTTTTTCGACATGCAGTGTCTTAATATCTCAATAATAAAGAGAATTTGAACTGAATGCCCTGCAGTCACTAAACTTCTCACCAGCAGAAAGACTCACACCTGACCTTTACTGAGGAACATGCTGTGTGGTTAGTAAATTAGTTCACAGGTTACTGCGATATAAGCAAGTTCAATTTGTTTGAGTCAGAGGGCAAATGTTGTTCATTGTCAAACTGAGGAAAGACTGAACCCAAAGTGTGTAAAGAATTCAGTGAAAGTTAAAAAACAGGAAGGCTCATGGTGAGTGGGACGTATTATACAGCAGGACTTTTATAAAGCTACATGACACTGCTGTTCTCTAATTTTATTATGATATAAAAACAATAAAACACGATAAAATTATTTTCACTATGAAATACACTCACTGGCCACTTTAATTGGTACACTATTCTAACTGCTCATTAATGCAAATTTCTAATCAGCCAATCCCATGGCAGCAGCTCAATGCATTTAAGCATGTAGACATGGTCGAGACGATCTGCTGCAGTTCAAACCGAGCATCAGAATGGGGAAGAAAAGTGATTTAAGTGACTTTGAACTTGGCATGGTTATTGGTGGCAGACGGGCTGGTCTGAGTATTTCAGAAACTGCTGATCTCCTGGGATTTTCACACACAACCATCTCTAGGGTTTTCAGAGAATGGTCAGAAAAAGAGAAAATATCCAGTGAGCGGCGGTTCTGTGGGCACAAATGCCTTGCTGATGCCAGAAATCAGAGGAGAATGGTCATTTTTGTGCAGGTCATACTGAGTTGTCATTTCCAGTGCACTTTATCAATCTAACCCAAAACCTCAAAAACAAACAGCATCCTTCAAAACAATCCACATTTAAAACTACAGCCTTGTGCCAACAAACACATAAAGTAAGTGCTGATTTTTTTTTTATCTTTTTTTTAATCAAAATAGCATAATTCAAGGAAACAAAACATGTCAGACAATTATAAACACAAAAATAGATGCTATTATAAAAGATATTGCAATTTCAATGTTTGTGCACTAACCACATTGTCAGTCCAAATCAGCATTAATTAAAACTTAAAAATTAGGATTTGTAAAAGATATTATTATTATTATTATTATTATTACTACTACTACTACTACTACTACTGCTACTACTACATTTTATTAAATGTCTATACATTAAATATTCATTAATATTATTAGTAGTAGTACTATTATTATTATAATAGCAGAGTGATATTAGCCACAGCCATATCATCCTGCAGCCCAAGACTGGTTACTCACTGAAGCTAAGCAAGGCTGAGCCTAGTCTGGCCCTGGATGAAAGACCACGTGGAAAAACTAGGTTGCTGTTAATATAGTAATTCATACTATATTAAGTGAAAGAAACGGACAGTTAAATTAAATGTAAAATATTAAGTAAAATATTAAGCATTAAAAATATATAAACAGTAAATAAAATTACAAAAATTGAAATCATAATGCAAAAAAAATCTAAACAAAATATAAATGACAAGTAAATAAAACAAAAAACAAAAGCTCCATAGAATATTTGAAAATATAATAATCATCATACAACAAAATAACTTAAACAGAAATAAAAACTAAAACTAAATGGACTTAAAAAACAAAAGCACAATAAATACTGTGGGAAGTTTCTTCTGTGCATTTTATTTCCTTATTTTGACACTTGAAGCCGATGCCTCAAAGTAACATGGGCTTTCAGTCAAGTTTCACAGATGTGACTACAGGTTATATTGGCTTACCTTCATATGTTATTCGTTTGGTTTTGGTCTGATTACAGACTGACTCGCAGCAATCACAGACAGAATCTGGACCAAACAAAGAGATCCATCTAGAAATCGAGAGTGGCAGAAAAGAAAAATATGGTAAGAGAAGAACATCTGAGGTGAACATTTATAATGGAAAACAAGACTTATAGTATATAAGCTTAGACTTTTAATGGTAGGTGTAAAAGAGCAATCTCATCACACAGAAAAGAGCCATTCGTGATCTCTACAATACTGGTGCACAGGAATTTTGTTAACCTTGCGTTCTCATGGCTGTAAAAACAGGACTTCAGCATTGAATTAGGACCTCCGGCGGAAACAGACAGCTCACAATGCAGCGAGACCTAACAAAAGATATGTTATGAAAAAGAGTGCACAATAAACTATTGTATGGTCTTCAAAGTAAAATTTTTAAAAAGTCAAAGAAATGTATAGACACACCTGAGCATCTGGTGACTCAATGAACTGAAAAGCACCAAAGGAGAACAGAACGACATTGTCTTCCCTGGAAAAGTGGTATCTTGCTGCACCTGGACTTATCCGGCTTTCACGCAAACACCTGGATGCGTGTGTGTGTGTGTGTGTGTAAGACTGGGTGTGTGATAAATTGCCCACTGAAGATAGCGTTTTGCTGCACTCACCCGTAGTTGTCTATGATGTTGTATTTGTTTGTCTGACTCATAGTGTTGACTGTGGCCGCATAACAGTTGTTGATAAACAGTTTGACGCCTGTGTAATGATGTCGGGTGGAGAGTTGAACATTCACCTTCTGGCCCAACATGAACACAGCAGACCTGACTGGAGATGACCAGGAGTCTACAATACACAAACACACAATATGGAGATACAGGTCAAACTGTATCTATGGTCAATACTGTATTTACAGTAGTTGTTTAATGTTTTTTTTATAGCCCATAATCTAAATATCACCATATACAGCTAAGCAAATCAATAAATGTGAATCAGTTTTGCACTTACAGTGCATTACATCATCATCCTGCATTCCATCCCTGACTTGTAATGCTTGATGTCATTTGTTGCAATACCATTAAGGGATAGTTCACCTTAAACTTAACATTCCCTCATCAGTTACTCACTCTTTACTTGTTCCAAACCTTTAACTTCCATAGTATTTGTTTTTTTTCTATATGGACTAAGATGGTTACAGGTTTTCAGCTGTCTACAAAATACTTTCATTAGTGTTTGTAACCATATACAGAGAGAGTAAATAGGAAATATTTTTTTCATTTTGGGGTGAAGTATTCATTTGAGTGCAATATATACAGTTAAAGTGAAAATTATTAGCCCCCCTGTTTATTTAAGCATAAGAGACAAGAGAGGCACCTCCGACAGAGTTCCGAAATGGTGTACTGAAGTGGGTCAGCCATCTGTTGGCGCCAAAAGAGGATACATTCCAGGTAATCGTTTTGTTAACAGTAACAGTCCACAATTCTCAGCGAAGAATAAAGTAAAAGACTTGTTTTGTTCTTGTAGTTGTTGTGATGTATTTTTTCTTCACTGGATTTAGTTTATTAATAAAAGTGTATTTTATTAATTTTCTTCACTAGAGTGCACATTGGCTTCATTTGCAGAACCCATCAAGACACCTTGTGTGGTAAGGTATGAATCTTATTCCTTGCACAACATTACAAAAGATAGCCCTAAACAAAACTCTAGCTAAGAAATATAGTCAAGAGAGAATTCTGATTTCTTTATTTAATTAGGGTATTAAAAGGCATGCATCTAGCACACTAGTTAACACTAATACCCTAGTTAAGCCGTTAAATGTCACTTTGAGCTGAATACTAGCTTAAGAATATCTAGTGAAATATGATGTACTGTCATCATGGCACAGATTAAAAAAATGAGTTTTTAGAAAAACTATTATGTTTAGATATGTATTAAGTAAATGTTTCCATTAAACAGAAATTGGGGACAAAAAATATATAGGGGGGCTAATAATTCTGACTTAAACTGTACACCTGACAAAAGTCTTGTCGCCTATCCAAGTTTTAGGAACAAATAACAACTTGATTTGAGTTTTTGCAGGACTCCCAGAGTTCATCAAGATTCTTTGGATCATCTTCAATGCCTCCTTCATCTTACCCCAGACATGCTTAATAATGTTCCTATCTGGTGCCTGGACCGAACAATCTTGGAGCACCTTCACCTTCTTTGCTTTCAGGAAATTTTAATGTGGAGGCAGAAGTATGAGAAGGAGCATGATCCTGCTGATGAATTTGCCCTCTCCTATGGTTTGTATGTAATGGGCAGCACAAATGTCTTGATACCTCAGGCTGTTAATGTGCAGATCTCTCACACATCCCTATACTGAATGTAATCCCCCATCAAACTTGACTGATTTCTGTGACAATCTTGGGTCCATGCGGGTTCCAGTTGATCTTCTACAGCACTTGTGATGATTGGGGTGCAGTTAAAAAATGCATTAATCCGAACTTTTCCAAATGATCGACTAGAAGTCAAGTTGTTATTTGTTGCTCTAACAACTGGGATCAACGACAAGACTTGCAAAAGGCAAAAGTATCCCCTCCTGTGAAATTGTAATTCAATCAAATATTTCTGAAGTAATGCTTAACATAGCAAGGACATTTTCACATTACTTCCTAATCATTTTTTTCTTTTGGAGAAAGTCTCATTTCTTTAAGTTTGGCTATAAAAGACTTCAGTTAAATCTCACAACATTTTCTTTAAAAAAATGTAAAGATCAATATTATTAATCCACTTACTGTGAGTAATTATAATATGTTTTAACTGGTTACAGAACAAATCGCTGTTGTCTAATGACTTGCCTAATTAACCTAACTTGTAGGTAACCTAATTAGTCAAGCCTTTAATTTGCACTTTACGCTGAATACTAGTATCTAGCAAAATAAAATGTTATGTAGCATCATATTTATAACATATAGCATCAACTTAACAATAAGTGTGGTGGGAAAAAAAAACTCTTCTCTCAATTAAAAGCCAGTTGGGAAATATTGGAAGAAATTTTCAGGAGAGCTAAGAATTTTCCCTACAAAATATGAATATAGTTGAGCACACCTTCAATTGTGTATACAAATCTATGGGATTCAAATACATCAAATCAGCCAATCCCATGGCAGCAGCTCAATGCATTTAGGATTGTAGTGAAAGATTCGGATTTCTGCTTTCCAGTCCATCTCATCATGGACCAGCGTTTTTCCTTTTCATCATCCTGTTTCTCAGTATTTAACTGTGAATTGATTTGAATTAATGAATAAGTTAACACATTGCTTAATACAAGAATGTTCAGTGGATTTGCCTGTCTCTTTATAACTATTTTCAGAAGCCACCAAACTAGGTCAGAGGTCACAGAGACCTTGAGTGGAACTGAGGACTGAGGACAGGAAGCAACTGTTTCTATTGTTATTTCGACAAGTTAATACTGTCTAAAATGTCTAAAGTGATTTTTCTATTTTTATGGTTAATTCTTTTAAAGTGATTCTACTTTTTATTCAAGATAGACTTGGTGTAGTATGAATATAACTGCCTGAATGTAGATTCTACCGGTTTTTAACCAGTTTTGATAAAGACGGCTGAGAGTACACACAGCCTTGGATAAGAAACAGATTATACTTTAAGTGTGTGTGTTCTATTTGATTGTTGATCCGTTTCACAGGTCTGGAGTCAGCTCTAATCAGTGTAAGGGATGTCTGACATTTATGCTTAAGATATTGTTTAGAACTGTACGCACAAACCCCATGTGGAAATTTTCCTAGTCTATCTGTGTTTTAACCAATCAGGTTAGAACACCTATATGTATGACGCAGTTAATGACGTTATGTGAGAGTATAATTGTTATTGATTGGTGATTGTGGGTAGAGCGGCCTCGGAACTCATTGCGAGTGTTGAAGCTGGCTTCTGCTGATGTAACTGCAAACTATCTTCAGTAAACTTGATTTATTTATTTAAATCTCTGACTCCGGCTCTTCTTCATCTACCAGACTGGTCATTCTTTGGGTCAATCTGTAAACTATCCCTACAGTAGACATGTTCAAACTGAGCAGCAGAATGGATAAGAAAGGTGATTTAAGTGACTTTAAACATGGCATTTGTGTTGATGACACACTTGCTGGTCTAAAATGTTAAAAACTGCTGGTGTACTGAAAGATAAAGAGAACGATCAGGAAAAAGTGGTGATCCTGTGGGAGACCATGACTTGTTGACTCCAGAGATCAGATGAGAATGAAAAGCAGAAAAGCAGTCAAACTTTAAAACATGTGATGAGTAGGAACAATCAAAAGTTGAAAACAGCAAGAAATGTGCTTATTCATTTTGCTTACTTAAATTAGATTTTATTGAGATGTTTTTGGATGTATTTTAACTTTTTCCTGTTATTACTTGAGTTCTATAATAGAGAAACTGTCAAAAAAAATCTCTTCAGAGAAAAAAAAGACTGTATATAGAGTCATGCAGACTAGTAAAAAATATTATACAAGTCTGTTGATGTGTTCCCTCTTACATTGTATTGCTTTTGTTATTGAATAAAATAACTGTGCGCACTCTTGCCGTGTGATCTGTCCACATGTCTTACCATCCATCAGCTGAATGGAGAAGTCGTCACCAGATCTCCCCCTGATGATTTTCCGCAATGGTGTCTGCCATGTTGGCTTCAAAACATCTCTAAAGAGCAACACACAGATAGTGTTTGTACAGCGTTTGTCCTCTGAACTGAACTGAAGAATTGAACAAGCAAACGAAGAAAAACAATTACAGCCATAAAACAAAACAACAAAAAAGGCCGTTAAAAATTCTGTTTCTCTGGGTTTCCTATAATAGACTTGGGTTTGAGTTAAAAAAAATCTTTATTAGAATTATTATATTTGTCAATAACATCTTTAAAATAAATTTTAAAAATAGAGAATTCATTCAGAAAAAGGCAACTGGTCACAATAACAAATTATTTATTTGTTGTAAATGCAATCAGGTTAATTCGATCAAATACTTCTTTCTCTTGATATTGAGCTGTCTAAAATGAATGTAGGCAATCTGAAAAGATGCCACCTGTATGCCAAAAAAAGATCTACATGGCAATATTTTTATTCACATCTAAAAAAAATGTAATCGGTAGTTTAACACATAACACGATCATTGAATGACATAAAACTATCATTTAGAGCATTTTTGGATACAATTCACAAATAGGGCTACGGTGCCATGTTTAATGTATTTTAAACACAGTAGGCTAACGTTACATGTATTAGTTTTTAGACAACACAATGTTTTATGATCAGAAGACCTAAGAAATACATTTTTATTTATTACCCTTCTCTCTTTATTAACCTTAGCATAGTTATTATTAATATGTAACCTCAGTCAAAACAAATGTTCGCTTTATCATTCATGCAACTTTATTCAACGTGAATGTTACCTTTCACGTGTATGTTAATTTTGTGGTTGTTGGCAGAACTAACTAAACATTTCATGTTTCGTACGTTAAGCCAAGGTATTTTTAGATAACAACTCTAAAATCCAAAACCTACAATTAAAACGTGTTTGTTTCATGGTTTGTTTACCTGGTGTATCGGCATTCCACCCCCACTTTGACACTCAGACGATGACGAGTGTTTCGGTCTGGTCGGGCCCGGGGCAAATAACGAAGCACATACTTATAAACCACATAATCGGGAAATACCTGACAAATGGAGATTAACATAATTACGATTGATTTAGAGCTGAAAAAAATAAAACAAAAAAACATTATTAAATTCTTTCCAAATGACGGTCACCTGTTTTTCTCCTTGGCAGTCGGTGAGCGCGTAGGTGAAGAGCAGCTCGCTGTTCGGCTCGAGCACGCCGTTACTTCTACAGGTTTCTCCGAGAGTCAGCTCCTCCGACACGGCCGAGAAACCGTAGAAACGTTTCTTAACCCTTAACTCAAAACCGGTGCTCGAGCAAGACACAGATACGTCTGAAAGCAGGTTGAATTTGGGCAGGTAATCCTCTCCAGGTAGGACCACAGCAGGTTGTCTGCCACGGATCCGCAGGACAGGCACCTGCCTCCTGTTTGTGAACGAATCCCGCACTAGAAGTTTCCCGGAGACAGGTCGAGTTTGTGGGCGACCGACTCTCTCATCTAACCCAGATGAGCCGCTGTTCAGTGTTGGGCTGGAGAAAATGACAAGAATCGAACCTAGAAGTGCGCGAGTAATGCGGTTCATATCAATGACCTGTGTATCTGTAAATTATTTTTCTTGTGCTTTACAACTTTTTTAAGCTTTACGTATATTTTATGTATAGTTTATGCTACAGGTGAAAGCTTCACAACTAGAAAGTCTTTTGAAAGAGGTTCGGTTGATGAACAGGTGATTATTTGTAATTTCCGCTGGACAGCAGATGGCGCTACAAAGCTAAAAGAAAATATGCAGAACCCCCACACACATCCAAACCAACTACTAACTGATATTTTACCCTACCCATCAGATTATGCTAGCAACACTGTATTTGAATGGTTCTGAGGTAAGGAGTAGCTTCATATCAGACTGCTCCACATTAAAATTTACACTTGGTAGCTAAATCTGATGGGTAGCACATTGCGTTGTCAAAATGTGTTATCTACTTTTTGAATGGGAGGTAGGACAATCTGACAAGGTTGGACACCGAACCGAACCAATTAATGCTAAACTCGGCAGGACCCCTCTGTAGATTGGCAGTCACCTACCCCAACCCTAAAACTACTCCTTACAGTTACGAATAAACTACTGCGTCACATACACCAAAGCTTTATAACATTTCTATAATTATTGAACATTTACATTTTAAAGAGGACAGCATTTAAACATTTTCAGATTATTACTGTTTATGTGTTTACTAGTGAATGTTTGTCATATTATGTATTTATGTTAATTTCTGTAACGAAATTGTGAAACTATATTAGGTATATTGATGATTATGTTACTTAATCATATTGTTCATCCACCACGTAAAGTACATCCCAGCAGCTTTAACATGAATATTTAGTGTGACTACCTTGAAATATAATGCAGTCTCTTTTGATAAATGAGGAAATTATTTTGTTGGTTAAAGATGCACGGCTTACTGGACTTACACGGTTTATTATAATTATGTTTAAATAAAATCAAATCAAAAGGTGCACATGAAAGGCACCAGTCAATGAACCAGTGATTCTTCACGCTTTGTGTTTGTGCATGAAATTAAAACAGAACACAGTCCAATTACATAAAGAAGTTTTTTTTTTTTAAAGTTCTGTCAGTATTTACAATAAACATACATACATATATATATATATATATATTTAATAAGCACAATATAAATACACAACAAGGTCAGCATGTCTATAAAGGTCATATACACACATTGTACATTTTGTAGCTGTGAAGTATTTTGGTGGTGTTTATGATTTTTGACGAAACATTCTCTCAGTAAACCCAGCATCCACGTCCATCTGCTGAGGCAAAAGGCAGCTTCCAGATCTCTATTTATATACATTTCTTACATTTTATCTCAGCAATTAGATGTAAACTTCAGGTTGATGACAGCATGTCAGGCAACTGTTTATAAAACTTAACAGTCAAAATTCCTTCAGAGCACACAAGGAGACCTTACAGTACCATCTTTAAATTCACATTTATCAGAGAAACGGCCATGGCATTTACTCATAAAGACACAGACTTCACATATAACAGAACTGCTTCTTTATGTGCACAATCACGCTATTAGTCACCACTTTCTCTCACACAAAAAAAACACACAGACATGGATACTTCCTGTTGGAAACAAAAATACTGCACCACTGAACGTTATAACTCTTCCAATTGTTACTGAGTCTTTGGCACAGCTGCATAGATTTAGTAAACCAATGCTCCTATAAGCTGTGACTGTTAAACCTACTGGTGTTAATTACTAGAATCTCATTTGATCAGGTTTTAGAAAAATCTCAGTCAATATAATGCTATAAATAAATACAGAACAATAAAAAAACTGACAGACAATAAAGTGTCATCTTCCTCAGGCTAAAGGCCTTCAGCTCGTCTTTAAAGTGATTTTTTTTGTTCCATTATAAGTATTTCACCCCAGTGCAAAAACATTCACAACATTGAGGATAAAATGCCCTCAGATGACTGCAACTCAACATTTCCCTCACATTCATAATCTCAAACAAACACAAACAAAACAAATCAGATGTTGTAGTTAACTGTATAACTGAACCTCCCATTGTTTCTTGTTTTGATCAAGGAGAGCTGTAACTCAGTGAAAGCAGCACTCAATGCCTGGAGTTGTAATGATCTTATAAAATCCAGCTGTCGTAACAGTAGTGCAGATATATAAGGGTCAAATCCATCCTTCATTGGTCTGGTTACCAGACCGTGTGAGGAAAGCTGAGCTGGTAGAGTTCCTCATGGCAGTGGTTGAGACGTATTTGGGCGCCCTCTGTTGGCCAGAATAACAACAGTCAAGCTGGTTTTTCATGCTGTGATATCAGGCTTCAAGACCTCCATCTCATCCTCCTCTTCTTCATTCCTGCAAGATGAGAAACAACTCTTATTTTCCATGACTAAGGATGCTTTTTTAACCTAACAGTTAATTAAACCTAACACAATACTGTAAAATAGAATTTAGTGTAGCTAAATGCAGTGCGATGTCAAAACAAATGTGATAGAATTTTACAAAACAATATTTTTCCTAAATAAATGTGTTCAGGGAAAAGAAAGCATCATTAAAATGTCTGAAAGTGAACAGCTGTTTTACTGTTGCATTAAATAAATCATACATTTTACAATTAAACAAAAAGTATAGAACTACCAGTCAGATGGCGTTACGGTGTGGAGTTTGCATGTTCTCTCAGTGTTTGTTTGGGTTTCCTCCAGGTGCTCCGGTTTCCCCCACAATCAAAAGACATGCGCTATGGGTGAATTGGGTAAGCTAAATTGTCTGTAGTGCATGTGTGTGAATGGAAGTGTTTGGGTGTTTCCCAGTGATGGGTTGCAGCTGGAAGGGCATCCGCGGCATAAAACATATACTTTGCAGCATCAAAGTATGAAACGTGACCATTCATGCTCACTGTGCATATTTTTCTGGCATGCATAATTGCCATCTACCAGTCGCATAATGATCATATGATAGGAGATTGACGAATCAAGGAAGGATATGCAAAATTCCAGACGCCCAGTCAGAAAGTGATTGTGGATAGTAATGTTTCCATTTTCAAAAATTTGTGTTTGTCCGTTTAAACTGAAACCGAATACCTGCATTTCCTAACTAAAACAGGGTCTTCAGCATTTTTAAAAGGCTCCGTTTTCACGATTTGAAGATGCTGTAGTTTTGAATATAGATGTCACCTTAACAAAACATACAGTTAAAGGTGCTGTATGTAAGTTTTTGACTTTTCTAAAGCATAAAAATACCATGATATGTTTGCAGATATTTAGGAAACATGCCAAGTGGACATTCTTATTTATCTGAAAAACAACGCTGAAGTCAGATATTCTGCTTTGAAAATGGGTGTTACGTGCTGGAACGTCTCTCTTTGTTTTGGTTGCTTTAACCCACCCAATGCCAGTTTAGCCGATTATAATTCAGCACCCGGGTTGTCTTGAAAACCGTGTATTTTATTCATTCAGACAGGGTTCTCAAAGGCTGCATGTACACTGCACTGTTCAAGTGACTCAATTCCATTTTTTTTGTCATGTGGCACAGATTGGATATGGCCTGTGTACGTGTAAGCAGAGAGAAAGAACAGAAGAGAATGGAAAAAAAAAAAACGCATTGATTTAGATTTACTCAAATCAGACTTAGGCCTTGATCATATGTGGAAATCTATCCAATATGAATCAGATCTGTGTCCTTGTGTCAGCAGTGTAAGCAGGTAAATCAGATTTTCACCTGTCAATGCAAGTCGCGAACCATTAAAAACCATAGAGAATGACGTCAAGTCTTACGCTTTCATTTCAGAACAGACTTAAGCAGAGTCCCAAACCTTCAATCTCATACACAAGGACTAAAACAGCTTTTATATTGTAGCACATGTATTTAAGCATGTTAATGAGAGAGCAAGAGAGAGTGCGCGAGTGAGCGCAATATCCGCCACGAAACCAATATAAACTGATATAAAACTATTACATTCTCACAATCATAAATCATGCCATGGACATTACATTAAGCCCACTGGTTTAACAAGGCTTAGATTAAAAGAAGATGGCCAAATGAAAACTTTGTCTGAAACTATACTAAACCAGCTTGTCAAAAAGAATTTTAAAAAATGAAACCCTGCAAACAGATTAAATACAGGAATGGAGAAAAGTGCGCTCTTTTATTATCAGCAGTCAGTCAGCGCCTGCTCTTTTATTCTTGATCATAGCGCCTTTGCCATGTGCTGTGTAAATGCAGACAATCAGATACGAATCACTTTTAAAAGAGGATGCAAGCCGGTCATCCAAAAAAATCAGATACAGTCACAAAATCAGACTTGATCATCAAAATCTGCAGTGTAAATACAGCCAAAGTGTGCATCCGTGATTGAAATGTGACCTCCGGTGGACAGTTACAGCTTCTGATATGAGACGCAGATTTGGAGCTGCACATGAGGTGGTTATTAATAAGTAAATAATATAAATATTACAAGAGTAAACATTATGTGAGCAGGTTACATTGTAAACCTATGTCCTAACAACCTGCTGTGACAGGATTTGCAGTGATAAGCAATTGGGCTGTTTGCACCAGACAAAACATGACAGAATATTAAATACAGTCAATCAGAAGCACAGAATATGCACTTACTGCACTCCAACAAAATGGTGAGGTTATGGTAATGCCAGTTACCTTACCTAATGTTAATGCTAATTACCCTAGCTTGCCTAACTTGCCAAATTAACCTAGTTAAGCCTTTAAATTGCACTTTATGATGAATATTAGTGTATTGAAATAGATCGAGTAAAATATTATGTACTGTCATCATGCAAATATAAAAGAAATCAGTTATTAGAAATGAGTTATTAAAACTATTATGTTAAGAAATGTTTAAAAAAATCTCCGTTATAAAGAAATAAAAACATATATAAAGCTAATAATTCAGGAGGGCTATTAATTTGACTTCAATTCTATGTGTATTAAAACAATAATGCACTAGTGTAAATGGCACCCTAGTGTATTTCCTACCGCAAGAGCAGCTGTAATTGTTTGTTGTTGTACTCCCGGCGCTCTTCATCGATGGGATACGTCATAAAGATGAGCAGGCCCAGAGCAATCAGTGACACAGGAGCAGCCGAAACCAACAACTTCAGTGTCAGATTCACAGAGTCAGACTGAACGCAAACACCTGTCTCATAACCTGCAAAGCTGAGCCGAGGGAAAACAGAACAGA